GTGGACTTTAAAGCAGCATGAAATGGAATTATTTCAGTAATCAGCCCAAAAATTGTACTTCATTATTTGAGTAAATGTTGTGAAAAATGTACTAAATGAAGTATTCAGATCCTTTACTTACTGTAAGTAAAAGTACAAATACCACAGAGTGAAAATTCTCCACTACAAGTAAAAGTCCTGCATTAAGAAGTATGTAAGTATTACCAGCAAAACTTAATTAAAGTAATAAAAGTGAAAGTACTAATTGTTCAGTAAAATGGTCCCTGTGTTTTATTATATGTGATTTTACTCGATTATTTTAGTGTGCGGCATTAATGTGTATGTTGAATTTTACTGCTGTAGTTTCTAAAAACTTTACATAATGTTTAATCTACAGCAATGCATCATATGCTGTAAGATCAACAAATGTTTGTGGCATCGCTCTGAAAACCATCTGTCTCTAAAGAGTCAGAAAAACAGATATTTTCAGCATTGTGATGATACATTTTCCAAATTATCCACGGGACGGTTTACAGGGAGAAATTTCTCAACCCATGAAGGAAGTTATTCCTTCAATTTATCAGAAATATTAAAATTCAAATCTCAAAATCAGTACAGTACAATCAGGTACAGTACTTGAGTATCCGAATCAGAATTAGAAATACTTTTAGTTACAGTTTCTCACGTAACAACGCATTTAATAAATAGAAGTGTGTAGAATTATGTACAGTACAGTGCAGTATGTGACAGAACTGTGATAAATAAACTATTATATTGATAACGATGATGATGAGTACTCATAATGTTGAGAGCTGTAGTGGATAAATCCTTAAAAATTGCAGTATTGGGACAGAATATTGCACATTAATCAAATATTACTTGGTTACATTCCACCACTGAAAAAGGTGTATTTAAACAATAAATTTTTTTTACAATATTATTACTCATACATTCATGTAAAAGCAGGATTTTACTGTTGTAGTGTGTTGAGGTTGAACTATTTTGTATCCGACAGCAATGAATGGTTTTTTTTCATTATGGATAAATCTGCTGATAATTTTCTCCACTGATCAATTGTAAAGTTTTTGAAAATAGTGAGAAATGTTATAACAATGGCCCAGAGGACAAGTGACACCTTCACAATGCTTGTTTGTCTTAAAATAACTTTTCAAAAACAAGTTACAAAGTGCTTTAACGAGTGTAAAGACAATAATACCAAAAAAACAATAATACCCCCAAAAAAACAATAATACAAAAACTATACAAGATAAAGAAAATAAAAGACTAAAATACACGTTTAAGATAAATATAAAATTAGTAAAATAGAATAAAACAATAAAACAGTCTGGAGTCGATCAATAGATTTTTGGGTTAAACAGGTGAAAAGGCTGTTGCAATAATACAGGCGTGATGAGATGAAGGCGTGTAAAATGGTCTCGGTGTCCTTAAAAGTTAACATAGATCGAATTTTTGCTATATTTCTAAGTTGATAAAAACATGATTGAACAAGCTTTGTGGTGTGCTGCTCGAAATTTAAATTACTATCAAACCAAACACCAAGATTCTTTGCCACAGGCTTAATGTGATTTACTAGGGAACCAGCAGATGGCAGTATTTGTTTTGCCATCTGCTGAGACCCGATGACCAGGATTTCTGTTTTGTCTGAATTCAGCTGGAGGAAATTATTGTGGAGAAAGAAATCGGAACAAATGTGTCTTAACTAGTTGGATCCTTTAGGACATTACACTGCCACTGTCTGGTGCCAAGGTAGTTATCCCTGATAGAAAGTGTCCCCCCCTGCTGCGGGAGCGCGCCTGCATTCAACGGTGAAGGCAGACTTTTGACTTCACAAAAGTAAATGAAAAATTTAACGTGGATTGTTTCATCTATTCTTTTGGTATTGTTTTATCAACAGGGTTTTTGCAGTGCAAGCTAGCACACGGATTATAAGAACGCTTTTATAGGCTAACGTTACATGTTATTGAACTTCGCACTAAATTGAGAATGTCTAAACAAAACTAGCAGTTTCAGTTTACCTCATAAAACAAACAGTGATTTCAAACTAGTCTGACGATGTTATAACTAACCACGTAGTTGATCACTTAGTCATCCATGTTACTGTTTGGAAGCTAGATCCAGACAGTCTGGCCCCTTTTTCAAGTAAGCTGCTCCTACAAATATCTGCGCCATCAATACTGTAAAATCAAGATCACCGTTATCAGTTTAACACATTTCTCTCCTCAACATTACATCTACTTGAATCGATTTGTACATTAAACTGAATGCAGCATTGTAGACAATATTTTGTCCTTGTAATCCATGTTTCCATTACATGGATAGCCTTTGGATGTTGCTGGAGATTGTTCCCCTCCTTAAAGGGTATAAATTATTATCATAACAATGTACTAATGCATTTAATAATGCAAAGTGATAACAGTAGCCTACTGGTCCTGCCAGGCTGGACATGCTGCCAAAATATGTATTCCCATCCATAATGCACAGATGATGGCCTTCTATCAAGTATTAAATTTTGTGTATACTTGACATCATGACTAATAAGAGGGGTGAATATGGAGACATTTCTATTTTCCTAGCAAAAGTTATAGTTGGATACAAATAATTTCAGACTGTATTTTCAACGTGCCATAAAATGTATCCCCCCTTTATGATGCACCAATGATGGCCTACTATCAAGTATTTTGTTTTAGATATACTTCACATCAGGACTAATAACAGGGGTGACTATGGAGACGTTTGTTGTTTCCTAGGAAACGTTATAGTGAAAGTTATAGTGACAAAATACAAACTGAGATCCAGAGAATGTCTAGTACATTAGAGCTTATACTGTTCATTAAGCCTTACAAAGAAGTGTCAAAGAATGTACTGTAACATCAGCTAAATTAACAGGAATGTTTTTTTGAATAATGTAATTTAATAAAACTATAACTAAGTTACTGAAAATATTCTGTTACTGAAACAAATAACCGTAAGTTACTGAAACATACTAAAACATTACATTATATACCAAACAAGACATTTTGAAAGCTTGAACATCGCCTTTGTCTCTTTTGTCCCCAGATGAAAGAATTAAGTCTTGGGCAGAAGTTTTGTATTCATTACATCTTCATATCTTATCTCATTATGGAGTTGTAGACTGTTGAATAGAGAGTGTGCACTTGTGACAATTTGCCCCGTCGGCAGGTAAGTTGTCACACTAGATTATCAAACAGTTAGAACAATTAATTGTGAATATTGATTTCAATTTCCAATTGTAACCAGAACTAAAAATAAATTCAATCAACACTCAAGCCTAGAGAATTTGGAAAATAAATAATTTAACTCAAAACAAAAATGTTGGCAGAGCACATATTAAGGGGTACAACCTCTTTCTTTGAACTTGAAAATCAAACTTTCTCTAGAGTGCAAATAGATCTATGGTAATTGAATGTAATGCTGCAGATAACTTGTTAAATGTGTAACTTCTTAACTACACAGATGTGGTGTTTAAACACACTAATGCAACAATGTGCTTTTTTGTACGACGTACATATGTATCTGACGTATCTGACTAATCGCAGGCCCATTTGTTGAATTTCATACACTTTAACTATGTCTTCTTTGAAATACTGCATGAAAATGGATCCACATAGATGAGGCCAAAAGAGATGTCAGCGGCTTACGTCAAAATCTTTAGCTGTACTTCTGATTGATTTGTTCTTCAACTTCACCTGCTTGACTGCCTTTAACATTATGTTAACATTAACCCTTGTTGACTAAGTAAATTAATAACTGGATGATAGTAGTGTGTGTGTGTTTGTATCTACTAACATACTACATGCCTACGGTATAAGACCGTATATCTTGTCCAGGCATATGGCTGCTGCTGTAAACTGCAGTGTATAATATTCTATTTACAGTAACATTTAATACTGATGTCAGAGGTAATTACACAATTTCACATAGTTTTTGAGCATGTTCTGTGTTTATTTGTACTGGGGCAAGTAATCACATGTGACGACTTGCCCCAAAGTCATTGAGACAACTTGCCCCAAACTGACATGTGTGCTAATCATAGGTGCTAATGTTAGCTAAATCTCAAGGTGAGCTTAACATAGCACTTCAGCTGAAGTATCAGAAGACAGGTTATTGTCTCCTCCTCTACTTTGTGCAAAGTTATCATTCTGAACATTTATACCTAATAAGGTTGGAATACATAAAATGTAAAGTGCAAATGTTTTGCTTTTGGAGCAACAAAATAATAAAATTGTGCTCACCTCAGATAAGAGTGACCTTGATCACATGTGAAGGAAGCTGAAAATAGAAAAAGAAGTCACACAAAATGGCTATTTGATTTTTGACATAGAGCCTCTAGTGTTGGAGTTATGAGCAGTGTGACAACTTACACACGAATCAACTTACCCCGCTCTCCCCTACTCCTTCATATTTATATTAAAAACAGACAAAACTGGACATTACTTGGAGATAAGAAAGCTAGGAGGTTGAACTACCTGGTGAGTTCTGAAAACGTGTGTAACTTTATTCCAGCTATCATTGTACTTTACTGTGACCAAGTTAGCCTAGCATAGCACTGATCGATCCGAACTCCAATCAGAAAACAGACATTTTAGAAGTTGTTGTCCTGCTGTCTTGCTGACAGACCTGACAAAGCATGAATTCATATGTTTAACAAATCGGCTTCATATTGTAGTTATTCCGGCGTCAGTTTGATCCGTTTATTAATATTTAATCACAGCAAAATGTTTACTTTGGGTTCATACAGTTGTAGTAATGGTGAGTTGTAATGCGTTTATTCGAGTTATGGCGTTGTGTGTGAACACTCAGCAGTTGTCCAGCGATAAAACCCCCGAGAGGACAGCGTTGCGTGGATTAAATTCGCGTTTGGTCTGAATGCCGCATTATTATTATTAGACCATCTGCACTTGTGAATATAGCAGTTTCCATGCTGTATAGAATAAAGCCTTGGGTTTTATTTTGAAAAACTTCACCGGAAGTCGCCCGTCGCAGTGGACGTCTTGACGCAGGTTTGGAGACTAGTCCAGCTCGCCTGCATTCCTCCTCTCTCAAAAAGCCTGCCCGATAGAGACAGAGAAAGGAAAAAGGGGGGGAGAAAACACCAATTATAATTTTCAACCGCGTTGGATTTTCATGAAGCACGGAGCCGACTCACAGCGGACACACCGACCAGACAAAACCACGAATAAATACCCACGTCGAGGCTGCAACTATGGACCTACAATAACCACAAAAAAGGCGTGTTTTTCCTTTTATGAAAACGGGACTTTGGCGTTGATGTGCCTCTGTAGGTCAGCTACCGAAAAGCAGCTTAGGTGAAACAGCCTTTCCACGGCGGATATCTTCCTTTTTTTTTTAAATGAGGATTTGCAAGATGGCTGATGACAGCTACCCCTAACAAGGACAGAAAAGTGACGTCCCCTTTAAGATTAGCAGGGTATATTTTTGTATTTATATTCGTTTGACGCGTAAATATGGCTGCTTTTTAAAGATAATGACTGTGGCTTATATTAGCAGCGACCGTCCTTGTCGGAAAATATGTGCCAGTCTAGTGTTTATCTGTACCTGAGCTGGGGTAGAAAATGGTGAGGTGACGTCTGAGGTAATTTACAAAATTTAATCGAGATAAGGAAGTAGAGGGAAAAAATGTGTTGTTGGCTAAAGGCCGAGGCAACGATAGGTGAATAAGTTGGAGAGCAAAGTCAAAACAGGCCGGATCTGGATATAAATAAATAAAAACCATTGGGTCAGGAGATATTTGATAGATGTGTCGGGGTAGAGAAACCAAAAGGCTCTGCAACAGCAGCCAACATTCCTGCGGATCCTAAAACCCTTTGTTTTGTGCGCAGGAGCTGGACTCGACTATTAAAACGATTAACTATGCAGTAAACAGGCTCGAAATGATGGCCCGGGTATGATTTGCTGTTTAATGAGATTATACGGCCTTTGTTGTCGACAGAAAACTGGTAGAAAAGCCGGGGCCTTGTGTACAGATATGCGAGCTGTGCCACATAGCAAGCGTTATTCATAAAATACAAATGTTGCGTTTATGTCAAATTGAAAGCCTTGAGGTACTTGTGTTATTAATCTGACCTGTAAAAAAAAGAAAAAAAAAAGCATTTCTTGTCTACTGCCAAACTGTCGCTGGTTGTATGGATGATTAAATTGCAGGTGGAGGCTCCTCGGATACTTATTTATGATTCAGCGGACAAAAGCATTGCGCCGCGTTGTGATTATTGAGGGAATCAAGCGCCCTTGAGGTCCTGATAAAAACAAAACAAGATTCAGGTTTTAAAAGCCCTCCGTGTGTGAATAGTAATCAGGGTGTGGGCTGTCCTTTTTCTCGTGGTTTTCATGCTTCAGTTGCTGGTGTGAATTGGCCCACAGTCAATCATAATCCGACGTTGAAGTGAAGGAAGCTCTCAAGGTAAGGGCCTGAGCCAGCAGCAGAGAAGGATCAAGTGTCTTTTCATGTGCTATACAGAGATTGATTCCCCTCATGATCATACATTGTGCAGATATTTAGTTCTCTGTGCCTTGTTTGTATTTGTAGTTTACCTGTAGCTGTCAGGCTTCACGCTTCCTGTAGGCCTATAAACACAGAAGCTGTAAAGGCAGGCCCAGTGTGTGATTTAGAGGAAAGGAACCATTTACTGTAATCTGAATAACGTCAGCCCGCGTGTGTGTGTGTGTGTGTGTGTGTGTGTGTTGAAATCACCAAGGTGTTGTCATCCTTGCCTGAAGCCCTCTCTGGTCAATTCTCTGGAATTTGCCTTTATGCTGCTGCAATAAGCAATACTCGGCGCCTGTCAGGGAGACTCGTCTAATTTTGGTCACAAGGGTTGAAACACACAGAGTGATCTTTCAGGACAGCATCGGGTCTGTTTTTATCTTCTTTTTTTTTCTTTTTCTCAAGACTCATTTTTGGGAGTGTCAGGTTTCCTGTGAGGACAGAGGGGCCTAGAGGTCTGGTACAAGTGGAAAGCAGTTAGTGTATGCCTGCCCACACCATGATGGCCTCTGACATGGCTGAGACGTGGAGGAACTGTTTTGAGGAGGAGCTCATCTGCCCCATCTGCCTGCACGTGTTCTCAGATCCCATCCAGCTGCCCTGCAAGCACAACTTCTGCCGGGGCTGCATCAGCGAGGCCTGGGCCAAAGACTCGACATTGGCCCGCTGCCCTGAGTGCAATCATGCTTACACGCAGAAGCCTAGCCTGGAGAAGAACCACAAACTGTCCAACATAGTTGAGAAGTACAACGCCCTGAGTGTGGAGAAGGCGACCACGCCGGCGCTGCAGTGCATCCTATGCCGCCGGGGCCCGCCACTCCCTGCTGTGAAAGTCTGCCTGCGCTGCAACGCCCCGTGCTGCCATTCCCACGTCCAGACGCACCTGCAGCAGCCGTGCTCGGCCCTCGGGCACCTGTTGGTAGAGGCCGAGGCGGTGAAGGCCTGGACCTGCCTGCAGCACGACGAGTACAGGCTGTACCACTGCGAGGCCGAGCAGACAGCCGTGTGTCAGTACTGCTGCTTCGCCCGCTGCCACCCCAGCCACGGCCACGCAGTCACCGACGTGGAGCTGCGACGCAACGACATCAGAGTAAGGAGACTTGTATATCGTACACATAAATTAATCCATACTTGTTTATTCACTTCTTATTCTTGCTCAGGACGCAGTCACAGTGACATTGTGACGGAAACAAAATTACAGACGGTAATTTGGCTTCATCGCCGGCTCGTCATGCAAGCGGACGTCTGACATCTTGCAAGTAGAGCTGAAACGATTAGTCGCTTAATTGATTAGTTGAGCGAGATAAAAATAATCTGCAAGTATTAGCCAGCTTCTCAAATGTGAATAATGTGATAGTAAACGGACTATCTTTTGGTTTAAGACCTCACCTTGGGCTCTGGGAAAATACGGTTTTCACTATTACCATTTGCAGATTTTTATATACGATAAACAGTTAATTGGTAATGGAAATAATGGTTCGTTGTGGCCCTGCTTGCAGGAATTTGTTGGCTAAATGCCCACTCAAACACCAAAATGTAACTCTGTGCATCACACAAGCCAGTGAGGTCATTTTTCATCCACTTTGTAGTCATCAAGCAAACATCACCAGAACAAAGGGCATCATTTAATGTTTTTTTTTGGATGTAAAGCGTAGACTTTTGGTTACAAAGCTGTTGTGGTCTGTTCTCAGTTGTGTATGCATTTAAACAAATCACTTTCCTCAATCAAAAACAGAATTTCCCATTTTCAGAAACAATTGTATTTCGAGTGTTTTTTAGCGCCCGTGTAAGAGTCTTGTGCATTTTTCAGTTGTGACCCACTCCAGCCGCCATTCTCATCTGTTGGAATGACAAACAATGCAGCCGAGGGTGGAACAATGAGGGGCCCTCAGAGGGCCTTATCTCCCCAGCACAGGTGCATCCTAGCTCAGGGATCGCCAGTTGTGAAGGGGGGGTGGGAGAGGAGACAAGGGGAAGGGGGATTAAAGTGATTTGTCACTTGATTCTGCGGTCTACTTGGGGTTTTTATTAACCTCTTCCCTTCCTGGGGGTTTGGTGCTCGCTGTCGCTGGTTTGTGCAGAGGTTGGACTGGTTTTCCTCTCCCTTTTTTTTCTGTTTGAAAGAGGTGTGTGAGGGGGCAGTTTAGTCAGAGGGAGAACCATGGAGGCCACTCTGCTGACTGACTCATGTTGTTCACCCAACACCCTGTTCAGGTGTCATCCGTGTCACGCTTGGGTGTATTTCCTGTTGGGAATGCTATGACGCAGCTTTATGTATGGTTAATCAGTCGCCTGGGGCACAGGAAGGGTCATCGGGTGGGACCTGGTCTAAATTTAAAAGCTTTACCAAAATCCTTCACATTCACAGCTTTTCCTACATTATGTATAATCAGGCTGGGCAAAAAGTAATGCTGGTTTTGACCCAGATACTGACTTCAGTATTTATCTTTAAAATCTATGCTGTACTATCAGCCAATATTTTAGTATTAACACGTTAAATAAACATTTTTAAAAGATCCCTTAAATATTGATGCAAAAGATTTGAAAAAGATACTTGTTAAGTAGGACACTTTACAGTTTATTTTATGTTAAACAAAATGAGCTCTGGTGGGCAAACATGGCAACAAGAGTCAGACTGATAAATCAGCAGGGCCAATATATTGGCAGATATTAGCTCACAAATGTATGTCTGCTGATAAATAACAAGAATAGCAGTAAATGAATGCCAAATATATGTTTTGATGTTGTGATGAAACGGTATCGCCATTACATGGTCACAATTCTTTAATAAAAATGATAATTTAAAGCGTCCTTATGAAAAGTAGGGCTGCATGCTAACATGCTCACACAAGCTGCCTAATATTTCACTAATAATCAGAATAATGGGCCAATCAGAATAAAAATGCCTCATGTAAGCACTTCAATCGGAAGAGATTTGCCTGATGGGAAGATATTTTAAATGGTGTTGAGAGGGGTGGTGTAAACCCTTTGATAATCCGTTCAATGGGAAAATATGCCTAATAACCATGTAAATATTTAATCCGATTGTTTCTCTCTGGTTGGAATAAATATAGTCTTTCTTGGATTCAGGCAGACGGTAGGCACAGGAAAACAAACCGACAGAATGTCAGGACAGCAAAACGAAACATGCGTCACGATGATGTCGGCTACACAAAGTTAATAGCTAGTCAGATAGCTCGTTAAGATAATATAGCTTAACACGGTTTTCATATTACCGACCTGGTATTCCACCTTGCTCTGTGCTGATTGCCTGCCATGTCAGCTTTCCTTGTAACATCTCGGTAGGATTTCAAGCTCCGATCATTTAATTACGTGTGTTTTTACCCCAAAATTTTTAGCTTCTCGTTTTCCAGATGATGATCTTCATGTTTATGGGAGCTAGGCAACATCTGGTTGTTAATTCTGTGGCGAAGGAGGCAGAAAGTTAATATATTTAAAACTTCAGCAATGCCGTCTGCCGTTACCGTTGCTGGTATTCTCTGCCTCACATAATTTTTTCCTGTCCTGCCCTCTGCAGGTACATGGATTCAGGCAGGCCATTTGTCGTCTGCCACAGCTGATAAGGCACATCTCATCAGATCACTTTATTTAGCTTCCATGTAAACGGTAAAGTCAGAATCTCTAATCTGAGCAGGGACGTGCACAGGGGGGTTGCTCTGGTTGCCCGGGCAACTGCCCGTTTGCCTTTCCTGACTCAAGTTGCCCTTCCGACTCGCCCTTCCGAGAAAAAAAAATAAAATAAAAAAATAATCGCGATCGCAAAGCCTCATTCACTTCCATTCGGGCACCGAAAGTGAAAGTCAGTAGGGGAAGGGCAAACTCTGTTTAAGTGGCTGCACTGCTGCAGCGCTGCCTGCACGTCAGTCGATTCTGTTCCCTACCGGAATTCCTGTTTCCTTCCTTTATGCAATCATACTACAACAAATCATGCGTAGTTTTGCCCAGTTACCATACGTGATACGTACCAACAGAAGTGAATACGAGCTAGAAGCGCAACTGAATGTACGGGAAGCCAAAAGGTTAAAAAAGGATTGTATTTTTTTCCGAAATCTAAGCGTTTTTTTATTTAATATTTTATTAGAAGCGAGTTTTCCCCATCTGTCAATTCAATCTAGATTATTTATTTTCAAATAAAAAAAAAAGGAAAAAAAATAAAAAATAATAATGATTAAAAAAAACAATAAACAATAATATAAGGAACTCTTTTTCTCATATGTATTTTGGTGACATTTATATTGTTAATACATTTTGGATACTGTGTTTAGTGCCTTTTTTCAGGTCAGAGCAACTGCCCTTCAAAATTCCTGTTCACGTCCCTGAATCTGAGGTGAAGAAATATTGTCCATGTAACCACAACTAAATTACTATTTTAGCATGTTGATGTTAGACAGGCATGTTTAGTATTTTAACCATCCTGTGTAGCATGTTAGCATGCTAACCGTTGCTAATTAGCGCTAAAAATTAGCATTAAACACAAAGTGCAGCTGATGAGGAGTAAACCGAAGTAGGTTTGCATCTAACCATTATTCTTTATTTTCTGTTAATTTGAATACTTTTTTCTTAAGTAATCAATGGATAAATGGATTTGTGTATAAAATGTCATAATTGTGAATAATGTCCACTATAATTTCCCACAGTCCAATGTGACGTCTTCAAATGTTTGATTTTATCCAAAAACACTCCAAAACTACAAATATTCAGTTTACAATCATATAAGACAAAAGAAAAGCAAATATTCCATTATCTGTCAGGTTTTTATGTTGTGTAATCCTATTAAATACATTTAAAATCTGCAGATAAATAGTTTTTAGATTTTTATAATCTCCTCTAATGTCATTAGAAAAATTTAATACTATGTTATTTAAATTAAAAAACCCAAGCAAATATAATATGTTTGAGTGTGGGATTGTTTAGGGCGTCTTTTACTAAATAAAGTGGTTAACAAAACAAGTGTCAGCATGTTCTGCTAAATGTTACCGTGTAGATATTAGATAATTAATCGTATTTCATTGTGACATGGATTTTAGCCAAATCAAATCTTATCCACACTTTTAAATTTAGATATTTGTCCTACATGGTAGTGATTGCAAAGACATCCTCCATGTTGAATGCGATCAAGGAATGTAGAGTTGGACACCCTCTCTACGCACACACATACACACACACACACACTAAATTCACCTCAAATCTACCACCCACTCCAGGGGAGGACCGACCTTCCCTCTGGCCCCACTCTCCTGCTCTGGTGGCTCTGATGGAGAAGACACTGTGGTGAAATGACAGCTAAAGAGCCCCCTCCCCTCTTTATACCCCACTTCTCCCTCCCCCAAAGGTATCCCATACACTTAGTTGCCACCCCCACTCTGGGGAGATTCGGCTCCTTCGTCCCTGTTTTTCCCCTGGCTTCTGCTCCGAGCCTAACTCAATCAATCAGTACAACCAGGTCACAGCCCTGGATCTAACCACGCCATGTGTGTGTGTGAGAAAGATATCTAGGGCAGTGGTTCTCAACCATGTGCCGCTGAGGCCCAAGAGTATGCAGGTTTTCATTCCTGTCAAGCTCTACAGCAGCTGATGGCACTAATGGTAAAATCAGCTGCTGCTTAGTTGGAATGATTGAATAGTAATGACGTTGATGATGTGGTATGTGATGGTATGAGTGAAAAAACAACAGATTTTTGACTTGTGGGATTAATGACGCATTCAGTCCCTATTTTTTTTTAACCATCCAGACTGAAATATCTCAACAACTATCAGATGGATTAGCATGAAATTTGTTGCGCATGTTCATGTTTGGAGACTTCTAGATCTGTCATCAAGTCAAAATTTTACTTTGTCCAGTCCTTCGGTTTAGAGCTGCAATAATGATTATTAGTTGAGCAAAAAATGGATCTGCAAATAATTTTTGACTATTGATTAATCATTGCAGGTATCTTTTCTAGCAAAAATACCAAACAGCTTCAGATGTGAGGATTTACTACTTTTGTATGATAGTTAAATATCTGTGAATTTGTACTGTTTGTCGTCACAGCGAGCATTTTGAAGACATCACCATGGGCTTTTTTCACTGCTTTTGGACAGTTGATAGACTAAAACTTAAGACTAAAGTAATTGATTAATCGAGGAATTAATGACAATCCCATACCCATCATCATAAGATGGGGAATGTTGTAAACATATTACCTGTTTAGCATAAGCATAATCCAGTTCTGATTTGGGACACTTTCATATGTAGTCCAAATCAGAAACAGGTCAGGTCACTCTAGAGCGACTGTTGTCACATTACTGCGCTAGCGGGAGCCGCTGTGAACACAAACATGTAGGAAAATCCTGCTAACCTCTTTGGCCTCCATGTTGATTTTCGTACGACAGCATCATGTGTGTGACATTGTATTAATCTTTTGCGCATGCGGGTCACTTTCAGGCCTCGACCAGTTCACACAGGGCCACATTTAAAAAATAATGTGAACATTCAATCAAAACAAATGGCTGTGGGCAATAAATCAGAATTGAGCATTAAGGCAGTGTGAATGTAGCATTAGTTTTATTAGTGTTCATTTGAATCTGGATCATACTGCTGCCATTACCACATTATTTTGCTCTGCACCATTCCATCAGCATGCGTCTGATTCATTAAATGTTGATTGAGGATTATTCATATCTCACATTAAATATTAACAACATGAAGGATTAGTAAATCTGTGTCAATGACATTCCTACTATGCGACTACAATGCAGGGAGCGACATAAAGGATCGTTGATCTCATATGGAGCCATTGATTATGTTTTTAATTTATTTTGACCACAAGCTGAGCCGGATGGGCATCTCAGCTTGGCCCGAGCGGGCGTCTGCTGCTGTTCACATGCAATCATCGTCCTAGAAATAACAAGCATGGTTGCCACAACATTGCCATAGCTCACAGAGCAGCCTCATCTTTGTGAATGCATGTGCATCTTGAGTGTGAGCGAGTACAGAGAGGAGGTTCGCTGTGGGGAGAGCTGCTGGAGCATTTTCTGCTTCTCTGTGCCCATTTATTTATCTCCCCCAGCTCCCCCAACGTTAGTCCTCACTCACTAATGCAAACACAAAATAGCTGTTGGTTGCTATGACAGCACGCCCTCCCTCCTCCCCCACAGGGATTGTGTTTTGGATGGAGACTAAATTAGCCGGCTCCCGGATTCTAATATCTCAGGCATGGGGAGGGGATGCCAGTGGCGAGCTGAGGTCACAGCTTCACAAAGCTTAAGACTTACTTTCTGTCTCTCCTCACAGCAAAGCCTGTTAAGACAGCAGGAGCGCGTGGAGGAACGAGTGCAAGAGATCGAAGAACAGCTCTGCAAACTGGACTCTGACAAGTGTGTGGTGGAGGTATGTTTTTATACCCTGCTTCTGTTGCATGAACACAACCACACACATTTTCAGAAATTCTCCTATGTGTTGGTGTAATGTAAAGAAAACTTCGAGTGGATTGATGTTTGTGCATCCATGTTTGTTACTCTACAGGACAGAGTGTGTGAGCTGAAAGAGGAGGTGCGTCTGCAGTACCAGCGGATGCACCAGCTCCTGGAGGAGGATCTCGGTCGGACATTGGAGGCTCTGGACCGCGCTCAGGCTCGGTTCTGCCAGGAGAACGCTGCCCAGGTCTTGGCTCTGGGGGAGCAGCGCCACGAGGCCCAGAAGCTGCTGAGCTCCATCCACACGGCCTTCAGTAAGGCAGAGGAGCTGAGTTTCATGAAAAACACCAAGCCAGTTAAAATTCTCACAGACAGGTGAGAGAGAAAATCTCTGATTTTCAAAATGGATGTTTTACTTTTCTGCCCGGGGTCTTTAATAGCAGGTGATGTTTCCAAGCTGACGTCTTTTGTCTCTTGGCACTTGTTGCAGGTCTCAGGCATGTGTGGGCAGCAGTCTCCCTCCTTACAAAGTGGGGAATCTAAACTCTAAACTATTCCTCTCTGAAATCTCAAAAAGAGAGAAGAGCTTGAAGAGAACGCTGGAAGGTAGGACTCAAGCACATTTGTCAGGGTTTAATCCGGGACATTACTGTCATGACTTTGATTTTATTTTAATTAAGACTTATTTCCCACCTTTTCTCTTAGCTCCCCTCACCCCTCCCTCGACCTTCCTGCAGTCTGTTCCTGCGTATCCCAGCGGTCAGAGCTCCGGCTCTGGAGCAGAGAAACGGAAACATTCCACTGCCTTCCCAGAGGGAAACGGGAACGTCGGAAAAAACGCTGCTCCAGGTTTCAAGGACTCCTCCTCCTCCTCCTCCTCATCTTCTTCCTCATCATTAGCCAAACAGCCCTACCTGGGCTCTGGCTCTGCCTCTGGAGAAGGCCAGTCTACCAATCAGCAGCCTCTCGGCCCCTGCGGCCCGCCTCACATCAGCGAGAGCGGCGGGACAGGAAGTGGGAGCGGCTCTCTGACCAATCACCATTCAGGCTCTGTGTTCGGCTCCTCACACTTTCCTCCTGGAGGCAGCAGTTCCTCACACTCCTCCCAGCAGGCCGTGCTGCCACAATATGGCGGCCGTAAGATCCTGGTGTGTACGATGGATAACTGCTACTGCTCCGGAGTGCCCTCAGTGTCGGGCCACCGCAGCCATCCTCCGTACCCACGCTCTGGCTCTTTCCCCTGGGTCAGCACCCAAGACTACCCCCCTCCTCCCGGCCTGGCCTCTGGAGGTCCGTCCATGCAGGGCTTGGCAGTGAGGGACTGGATAGACGCCTCGCAGACACACAGACATGCAGATTTTTACGGGCTGTATGGGCAACCATCTACAAAGCACTATGTCACCAGTTAACAGAGTAGAGACACACACACACACACACACACACACACACACACTTGGATATAGAGACAGGCACCGAAATAGCACACCTTTACCGACTTATTAACTGGAGAAAAAAAACACACCGCAGTTATACTATACACACATTAAAATATTAAAATTCATACACACTCACAGACAGATCTAGAAGATGTATACACATTCGGGGGCAGGGTTGATCTCTTTGTGTTTTTATTTTCTTTACTTTCAGTCAGTGTTTCATGTAGTGTATTATACGTAAAATGCATAAACAGCCAACCGCTCACTCTGGCACAACTTAGCTCAGCATTTTACACATAAACAAGAACTAACAAGTTGAGGAGCAGAGTAAGACGTGCATCTTTTTATTTATAGAGCAGGAGATGGATTGATAGAAAATGAACTTTTATTAGAAAACCTTCTCATGCCTCTTCATGGCTTCTCACTGGCGCTAAAGGGAAAAGAGATAATACTGTGCAGTGTTGACCTTTCCAGTTTAGCGCCTCGTGTGTCTGATATAATCACCCCTTCCAGTTGTGCTGAGGTCAGTTGCCTTATGGTATTAGCATCATATTTTTCTCCGCCCAGCTCACGCTGTTTGATAGATCCTTTTAAAGAGGGACTGCGGCCCCTTTGTGTCTCTCTTGATTTTTATCATCATGGCACCTCTTTCTTTCTTTGCTGAGTTCAGGGATGGATCGTACGGCTTGAACACAAAATGCTCTTCCATGGAACACCCGCAATGTACTTGTGGATGCCTTGTTATGCCTGGACTACAGATGCTGACATGCAGAGGGACACTAGAGCTGCATCCGAAGAGGGCCAGTTGACCGAGGCCCTCAGGGTTTTGCAAATGTGTCCTTTATTCCTAGCACTCCCTTCCTGCTACCAGGCTTCCCACAGGACAGAACATCCTCTGACAAAGACTGTTTCCATTTAGTAATTACTATGACTTTGTGTTATTTGGTACATCTGTTGGTTTCATGCCTGTCTATAGAGACTCTTTGATTTTAGAGAAAAAGGCAAGACTGGACGGACCAAACCAATCAAGCATCTGGAGGATCTGATGATGCTGTAATTGTACTTCCTGCAGGGCAAAGATGTCACTTCCTCTCAATAAGCACATGAGCTCTTGGCTTCCTGTTTGCAGCTGAAAGCCTGCAAGGAAGAGTTTTTTTAAGCACTCAAAAGAAGAACAATGGGAAGAAAACATGTATGCAGAAAAGAAGGGTGGTAGGACTTTTTTTCATGAACTTTTTCTAAAAGAACAAGACTGGACTGTGAGATGTAAGCAATTGTCATCATCCTAAAAAGGAGCTGTTACAAGACTCAGCATAAAGAGGAAAAAAACAACATGAAAGTATCTCTTTTTTTTTTTCTTTTTTTTTTTTTTTTCTTTTTGTAAATATTTTGTGAAATGGAAAAATTACGTGATTTGGAGGAGGGTTCCAAATAAACGAACCAATTTAAACCAGTCTCTGCTGTCAACTCTGTATGTGCAAATCTGTTTTCTCATGTTCGTTTAAAGTATAAGGCTGGCAATATTCTATATATTTTTGTTATTTTCAATAAATCCCATTTAAAAAAACCAAAACCATCAGTGCGCTAGTACTTTAATTCTTCCCTACCCTGTCTGTGACCCCAAGCCCATTTGTTCCTACTGAAAATCCCCAAAAACAGGTCACAAATATAGTGTCATTTAAAAAAAACAAAAAAGGCTCAGTAACTCACTAAAACAGCTGGGCAGTGTAGTTTTAAGCAAACATGACTCAAACTGGAATTAAATTGTATTTGTGGGGGACTATTTTCTGCAGCGGATTAACACATTTACAGCACTAGAACAGTTTTTGTTGGATTGATTAAAAATAACGACGGTACATACAGTCTATGGTTTTTAATAGTTTTTAGCCACGCTAGCCGCTTTGATTCAGACTGAAATATCTCAGCTATTGGATGACTGGCCGTTACATTTTGTCCAGATATTCATGCTCCCCTCAGGATGAATTGTAGTTAAATTTTTCATTTGTCTAGTAGTTCGGTTTACCTGCAAAATTAATGACATCCCCATCAGCCTCAGCTCTACTTTTGTTGTGTGCCAAGCAAATGTTAGCATGCAAAACTGTAAACATTATACCTGCTAAATGTTAGCATTCTCATTGTGAGCATGCTAGCTGACGATAGCATTTAGCTAGTATGGTCACATTTCTGCCCTAAAAATATTCGTTTAGACTCCCATTAACTTCTTTTGAAGCCTGTATGACCGACAAATTCAAGCACGTGTTTCCCTTTTTCTATCAACTTTGACCGTGCATATGTGCTCGGTCAGCACATAGAAACACTGATCCACTGTGTTCGGAAATGTAGATGTTATTATTCTAGCATGTTGTTCTTTTTAGTACATTATCACACTACCAGACTATATGTAACGTATAGTTCGTACGTTAAGACTGCACTCGTGTCATGTTGGAGTTTCTAACTTGTAAACATCATTTATGTTAATGATTAACTTGTTATCACAACTTTCTGTTACAGGTCTGTTAAATCTGAAAATGTAAACCAAACAACCGAAGTCCATTGTTAAATGTAAATACACTTAAATTAAATTGATATACTGTCAATATATTAATGTTGAACCAAAATGTAACTCTATGGTACAGGGGATCTTCATGGTTGGTTTTGGTCCTTTCGTGGGATTTGTAGAAATATTGTATAAATATAGAATATCACCAGCCTTGTCATTTAATATTTCTCACATTTGTACAGAGACAGAATCTCTGCATTTGTTTTGTGCTCTCTGCTCTAGTGTGGTCTAGTCATCTGCTTACTCTTCATATGACTAAACAAAGACAACACCCTTCCACTTGTACCTTATCATCACACTATCTCCGTTCCTTCTTAAACATGAAAACTAATCTGCCTGGCTGCCTTTTTTTCTGTTTGACAGTTCATCTATTAGAGTTCCTATTTATCTTAAAACAGTGGTACCCAAAGTGGGGTCTGGGGATCCCCAGGAGTCCTTGAGGGGGTTCCAGGGGGTCCCCAGCAAAAAGGGAAATCATTTATTTTCACTTTAATTCCATCTATAAGTAACATAGTGACTGAATGTCTGACTATTTTGGTCATGCATTTAATACACTTTCTGGAATAAAACATCTAAAAGCCAAAATCCTATTAGATGTGTGATCCTGGGACAAAATCTTCAAATGGGGGATCGGTGGTCTAATTTGTGTCAGTTTAGGGGTCCTTGACGTGAAAAAGTTTGAGAACCACTGTCTTAAAAGACACGTAAACCGGAGGACAAACCCATTTAAACAAACCTTCAAACATCTCTACGTCCACCCAGTACAAACAGGGCTCACAAGTGCATGTGGGTGGAGGCCTGCAAAGAGAAAACAGGATGGAGAGATCGAGTCTTGAGATGAGTAGTCAATCAGAGTGTGTTTGTTGGTTCCCCTCAGCCTGATTAAGCTGTTGCATTACTGCTTTACCCTACCCAGCACTTTGAGCCTCAATCCCATTCAGACAACAGGGATTTATACACTTGTGTGTTTGTGTTTCAATGAGTGAACAGGGAATGGGGAGGAATAAAGCTCCAGAACAGCCACTTAAAGGTTTATAAATTTCAAAACATGCTTATTCTCTTTCTTACTGAGAGTTAGATGAGAAGATTGATACCACTGTTCAGTCTGTATGATAAATATTAAGATACAGCCTGTAGCTGCTAAGCTAAGATTAGCACAAAGACTGGAAACCACTGGAAACGGAAAAACAGCTACCTGAAAACAAGAGCTGTGTCTCAATTCTGATACTTCCGTTAGTACATTATGTACTTACTTGTGTAGTGAGTGAGTTTCATCAGGGTACTGTTGTCTCCAATCAAACACGGCAGTTGTGCACTTACTGGAAATGACCGTCGCAACATTGACCGCTTCTTCTTCTTCTTTTTAAGGATGAACTGTAACCAGGCGAATCATTGTTGCCAGCTTGTTTGCTCACTTGACTTTGATTCGTTTTTATTTAAAATAAATAAAGATGAACTTACTTTTACTTTTACTTGCTTGTGTTGGAAACTGCAATCCCTGCAGCTACCTCAGTCACCATTTTAATTTTCAAGTCTGACAATGAGTCGGTGGTCCCTCCTCTTCCGCTAGGTAGCCAAGATGGCGCGTTCCACACTCAACTTTTTAACCGTTATGAGTACGCCATCCAGATAAATAGCACACTGTATTTTGCCATACTTGTCAGTGTGAACACACTTATGCACTCAAACTAGAAAGTGTAAGTGAAGGGTGTGAACTGAAACACCGCATAAGTAACAAAATCCACCTACCAGCACCACTGGCACACACATCTTTACACCGAGCCAGGCCAGCTGTATCCCCTGCATCCAGTCTTTATGCTAAGCTAGGTTAGCTGGCTGCTGGCTGTAACTTCATCTTAACCATACAGACAAGCCAGTGGTATCAATCCTCTCATCATCAAGTCTCTGTGAGAAATGTCCTGATTGTTTGTTTTTTTCAATTTATTGTTTCTAATTCCGTAATTAGCTTTCAATCTCAACTTTAAATGCTAACATGGATGCAAAGTTGTGTAAATGCTCTGAAAAAATGGACATTTGAACCTCTACTGAAGATAATGTGATACAACTGAAAGCTCAAAAACAACTTCGTGGTGAGGTTGGTTTGTCAACTCCTGTTTCAAATCAAGAATGAACTTTCAATCTCACATTTCTTTCATGGTTTTTCTAGGACAAACATGTCTGTTTCAGTTTCTAAACGTCAATCAGTGGTTAATGTACACGTAAAAACAAACATTTTAATCATTCTGCTTCTTCTTGCTCCACCCTCGTCTTCCTCCCACCTCTTTCCCGTGTTGAGCTGGTGGAAGCAGAGGTCTGATGTGCTGCCTTTTTTTTCTCACGTCAGCAAACCTCAGCAGAGACACATGCAGCCAAGAACTGTGGGGTCAGAGGTGCAGCATAAATTACAGTGCTGCTTTTCTATCTTTCACTCTTTGACACACACACACTAACAAACACTCCCCTTCTCTCGCTCTCCTGACACACGTTTTCTCACACTTGTGCACACAGCTGCTGAACAGCTGCCTGATCCATGAGAAGAGAAAGGCAGTAATTCGGTCGCCTACGTCTCTGATGTGTATCTCTGACACACTCACACACACACTGTGAGGAAAATAAGCTTTTATTCACTGATTAAACAACAGAACTTTTTGTTCTCTCATTTAGAGGTTTAATTTTCATTATCTTCAAAACTCAAATCTTCTGACAGAGTGTTAGATGAGAAGATGGAGACCACTCTGATGTCTGCACAGTAAATTAGCTTAGCATAAAGACTGGAAACAGGGAAACAGCTAGCCTGGCTCGGTCCAATGTCAACAACATCTGCCTACCAGCACCTCTAAAGCTCACTGATTAATACGTTATAGCTTGTTAATCTGGAAAAGAAACGACAATTAGGCTTTTTATGGCTGGACTGGTTCTTGGCTGTAGGACCAGATGCCAGGCAACCAACAGAGACTCAAGGAAATTACTGGTACGAGCCAAGAAATAGTCTGACACATAGCCCTTGTAAAGCAGCAGATTGTCAGTTTTAAAGATAGTTTTTTGTAGGGATTAAACAATCAAGCGTGTCAATTAGTGAGGTTCAGAGGAGGTTCAGAGGAGCTGGTATGGGAGAAGATTGACACTTTCAAGTTTGCATAGAAATATGAAGCAACTGGTTAATTTAGCTGAGCACAAAGACTGGAAACAGAGACAACAGCTAGCATGGCTCTGTCCAAGGCAAAGAAAATAAAAATCTGACTATAAATCAGCAAATCTAAAGCTCACTTTATATTTATATCTTGTTTGTGTAATCCATACCAGTAACCCACTGTCTTCAGACCAGTAACTTAAGTGTCCACCAGTTGGCCCAGCCACCAGTCCAGCACATACGCCCCATTAAGTGCCGATTTGTGGCTTTGTTTTTTATAAATACACAAGCTATAATATGTTAATTAGTGGCCTTTGAAGGTGTGTTTAACAAAGCCAGGCTACTCCACCCCTCTCCTATTTTCTCTCTTTATGCTAAGCTAGGTTAGTTCGTTGCCAACTGCAGCTTCGATTTAGAGTTTCATTTATCTTCTCATTGAAAGCAAATACAGGTAAGCATATTTTCATAACTGTCAAACTATTACTTGAAATGACATTTTTGAATAGAGTACGGTCTAGACCTGCTCTTTTATGAAAAGCGCTGTGAGATAACTTTTGTTGTGATTTGGCGCTATATAAATAAAATTGAATTGAATTGAATTGAATTGATGTATCATACTTTATTTATCATAGTGCTTTGTGTGAATTTTAACAGGGAGTTAAAAGAAATGAGGAACAATACTGGTACATTCTGTCTGTGTGAGAGAAGAGGAAGACCGGACAATGAGAATCTTTGTGAGAAGAAGATGAGGCTGTTTGCAAGTCTCTAAGGCCCTTTGAATCAGTCACGTACAATGTTACGCAAAGTAAAACACACAGTATACTGTTTCTACAACAGGAACACACTGTTAGACATGTAACACCTCGACATGGCTTCTTCTGAG